CAACATGCTTTAAGATGGGTGGACTTCAACTCCCAGAGTTCCCTAGCTAGCAAGCTTAAGATATAAAGCATGCCAGATAGGGAATTCTGGGACTTGAAAGTCCACCTATCTGGCATGCTTTAAAATGAGTCGACTTCAACTCCCAGAATTCCCCAGCTGGCATGTTTTAAGATAGTTGGCCTTCAACTCCCGGAGTTCCCTAGCCGGCAAGCTTTAAGATGGGTGGACCAACTCCCAGAATTCCCCCAGCTGTAAAAAGGTCATTAAATCAGGTTGGTCACACAGGTAATCTGCTTTACGACCGTCATGACTTACGACCTTAATGGGCCGGCTCCACTACGGTTGTAATTGGAGGAGTGCCTATCTTTCCCAGTCAGACAAATCTGCCTATCGAAGGCTCAGTAAATGAAAGAGGAAAAAAAGAGACTTCACACTTTTTATCTTGTTCCAAATACATGGCGAATTTACCCAATTACCTCCCCCCAAAACCCCCGAAGTGCATTAAATGAATTAATTCCTCAAGTGCCAAAATGATAGATAGTGGAGAAATTCTTTTGTCTTCTTTCCGAAGAGGGCTGATCAGATAGTGGAATAATTAATCTAATGTTTTGTCTGGGTGCTTAAATGGAATTTCCTATCGTCCGGCGCGTTTCGTGATTATCAGCTAAATCCAGAAGACATCAAGAGATGCGTTCATTATTTTCTTTCCTTTTTCCTTACATCAAGGAAAATTAAAGTAACACTTGGGTGGCTTTGCTCTCTACGATCAGGAAGAGAGACTCTTCAATGTAATTCCTGTGATTTTATTTTATTTTATTTTTTTAGACTCTTTGCTCAAATTCTTTGGGACTTTTTTAAAAAAAATCTCAGACGGTTGAAACACTCTAGTTAGTTAGTAAGCTGTGAGATGGTTTCTGATCTCGTCCTCTTGAAGGCTGAAGTCGGGAATCTGTTTTTTGGTAATAATCCTCTTTCCTATCGCAGGTTTTTCATCTCTCTCTAATCGTTTTTACATTCACACTCTACACTTGATAAGTCTCTGCTTAGTCTGGGGTTTGTTCTTTATCGTAGGATGATGTCTGACCCAGGTTATTATGCTAATCCACAATACGCTTCTCCTTCTCTTTGTCCTTCTCTTTGTCCTTCTCCTTTCCCTCTTT